AACATTGCGTATTTATATTGTTGCTTCGGGATTCCGAGATCAGTATTTCCGTCCGTGTGGGGCCAATCTCGTGTCTGCACGTTTTCGCGCGTGTGTGAGTATTTTTTATTGAAATTCTAAGTTGCTAGCCGGTTACTTGCATGTCGGATGGCGTATAAACAGGTGGCCTGCGCACTTTATTGCCCAGACATCGGTAACATTAATTAAAACGGAGCTCGTTGCAATCACAATTATAATTGTGAACGGGTGACTTCAACGTGAAACACCATTTGGCTCGCCAATTTACAAATGGGATGATTTATTACACGCATGCATCATCGATATCTCATCATTTGCTGTTAAGCTCGACGAAAATTCACCGTCGCTCTCTGAATTATTCATTTCGTTATATCTTTTTTTAGTAACGACTTAATTCACTACGAACTGTTCTAGGCGTCACGTAAGGTGTAATTGACAAAATAGTACATCACGACACGTGAAAACTGTTTATGGAGCACACAGGTTGTGCCGTGTGTGCATTGAACTTACGACACAGCAGTTGGCCAGATGACCATCAAAACCGTTATTCCGTTACTGCATTGGAAAGTCGTTAAAGTGTTGAATCTTGGGAACGGAGAAGTAAACAGATGTATTATTTACAGGTGCATCTTCATCACTGCATCGCCTCATTAACGACATGATTCATGTTAATAAATAAGTATGAAATGCGTTTAGTGAGGACTTTTTTATGTGAGAAAGTGGTAAAAGATCTGGCGGCTCACCTGATGTTAAGTGATAACCGCCGCCTACGGACATTTGCAACATCGGTTGCAGATGTATTGCCACTTTTTAATATTTTGGGCCCCGTTACCACACACACCAGACGAAACGCAGAGTGTAACACTTCTACTTTACGTAGGTCTTCTGTCAGGTTGTGGTTCTAACCAGGACGGACCTTGCCATTCGTGCAACAGCGAATACTGTTGCGTGGTCCTACTAAAGTGAAAGTTTGAGGATATGACCTTTTTTGTCTTTTTCTAAATATTTAATTGTGTGCAATTGCAATACTAAGACCGCTCCGCTGCGGATGTCTTAATTGTAAAGTAGCAAACAATTAATCCGCACAAATAGATTTCTGAGCCGGTCCACCTTAATGGATGGGGTCGTCTCTTCCGATCATAGCTGCTTTACGGGTTGTGTCCGATCTCGGTATAATTATACGATCACGGGCAGTAAAACTTTAATTAGATCGCGTGTACACAATATTTACGTACAAGTCGTTACCTATTTGCCCAGTTACGTTTTTTTATCGCTATGGTACTTTTATTGGATACCTGTTTGTGTTGGAGACGCTTGGACTGTAAAATCGCGTCTGTGTAATAGAGGCGAGCTGTAACAGAGAGTGATGTGTGCAAGGAACATCTTTAGGTGACCTACTAAGTCTGAATGCGTGGGATTGTTTACAGCGGATTGGTTCATTCATTTCGAGGAAGCGATTTTTACGAATACTATTTTGTTTAGTCGCCACGAGCTTATTGAATCAATTGAAGTTTGTTAAATGAAACTATTTTACGGATTTTATTTGCAATGTATGATTTACGGAATTGGATTGCTGCTCTTAAACTTTGTAGGAAAAAATGGATGATAAGTATTTTCACCGCTGTGCGAATTGAATCCACTTTTCTACTTCAATTGAATGTCTAATAATCTTAATAAAAAATCTTAAATCGTGGGTAAATAATACAACAATCCACGAGATTTAAAAAAAATAGTAAAAATATAAAAAAATAGTAAAATAGTTTCATTCAATAGTTAATACTATTTTATGGATTTTACCGCTTTTGTTTACAATCATTTGAATAAATTTGAAAAAATGTCAATAAGAAACTGATGTCCTGATATTATAGGTGCGAGGCACGATGGCGTGTATAAATTTACGAAAAATGTATGCCTTGTGTACAGTAATAAAGCCCTATGATGTCACCATGCTTACTTGGTAAATATATGCGCTAGTTGTCTTTACTTATTACTGATCATTTATTTACCTGATCAAGGGCTATAAAATATAAAAATGTACAATATGAATTGTATAAATGTATAAGGCTACAGCTATAGGCATTGTTAAATGAAACTATTTTACGCGAGATAAAATCCGTAAAATAGTTTCATTTAACAACTAATTATGAGAATGAGTAAAAATTAATATAAATTATTATTTATAATTATATCAATATTTATGAGTTTATGTTTGTATCATTTTAATATGTCTGTAATTTTCTTTACACAAATAAATTAAAAAAAAATCAAATTTCGTTTTTTATTTCCCATCTTCAATCGCATGTTTTCCCATCCACTTCTAAGGTGTGTCAAGCTTTGTGGTAGTCGCGAGAACACTTTCTCGTGCTCTCGTGCATCGATTCAGTTTCGACTGGCTTACTTAGCTAAGACGCAATGGCTTAGCATTAGGCTATTTGGGTACCGTGGGAGCATGGCGTGCCGCCCTCCATGTGTAGGAAGCAACTTCTTAATACTCCGCGTCCTGTCGGAACAATACGGGATGGGGCGGTGAATGCTTGAGATAACAAAGCACCTAACGGGTTTGATTCGAAGACAGCTGGAGCGTCGCACAAGGTTTGGTGCAATCCATAAGCGAGCTAGATGCGATTGCTATTGTTAATGTAAACGTTGTCAATAATTTGTATTTTTATTATATTTAAATTGCATTTTTTTGTAGTTAAATGAACTAAAACTTTCGGCACTGTGGGATTCGAACCTGAAAAAAAAAAATTCAATTTAAAAGTCAAAGTCAACTTTCTTGAGTGCAGAGAACTACGTGCAAGAACTACTTACTGGTAGCACTTAAAATATAAATGGAGCCTAGAAATCATTAATATTCTAAAGAAACTTAAAAAAGGGCTGATCAAAAATACACAGTTAAATATCTTTGAAAATAAGTAACATGACAGTCCTCAGGTTAAATGCAGTATCTTTTGATACGAAACCGTCAATAATTTTGGACCACCCAATGAACCAATGGTTGTCCTCCTCGGGTGTTTGCAAGGTGCGTTCCCGGGGTTTTTTGGCGACAAGTTGTACGCTGACGCGGGGAAAGGTGCATACGGAAATGAAGGACTGTGGGAATGCGAACAGTTAGCGACTTAATGTGTCCATTCGTGGACTGGTACGCTTTTGGAGATTATCGCCCGGTTTCTGAAACGCCGGTCATCGTAGAAATTAACTAATCAGCTGTCAATTAAAAAGTTATTTGAGTTGCCAAAAAGATTGTTAAACTCTTTACATTGATCATTCTGATAATGAAACATTCTGTTCTAAGAGTGAAACCCTCAGTCATCTTCTTTGGCATGTTCCCTTCCAATACTAAGTACCTTTCTATATTATACCTTAACGATATTAATTTGAGACGAAAACGTTGAGAATACGTAAGATGTGTGAATTTTTATTCAAAGACGGATTACATTTTGGTAAAGTTAGAATAACTATGTTCCCAGATATGTGATATAGACTTTGTGGCATGTTTAATGCAATAATTGACATCTTGGTTTGTTCTATTGCTAAAAATTAAATACGTACGTCTAATATAGGTAGATAGATGTCAAAATTATCGCGCTGTGTGGTCATGGGTCGCTTAATTTAGTTAACGGTAAAGCGTCTGGGGCGAAACTAAAAGACGCAATGTTTTTGTTCATTCATTTAAAAAAAAATTACAATTTAAAATTGGTACCTTTTTCGCCTAACGCTGTGTGCTTTACATTCCTTACGCTTTTGATTTCTATTTTCCCACATTGTTACACCAATTTCTGTCATATTGCATCGCAGCTGCCTCTCAAACCTTAATGAGTTGCAGCGACGTCTTACTAACGTTGCCGAATGGCAAAAACTATACGCGCAACACTAATCAATCAGAGCGGATTTTTAAGGACGGATACGCGACATCTGAGCGGAAATTGGCATCTTTTTATTCGAAACGAAGAATCGCCGGAGAATTCGGACGCCTTACGAAGATAGACACAAGGATCAATTTCCAACCGGATCGACGACGCAACGAAACTACACGGGAACTCGTAACAAAAAGTTCGAAATGGTTGAGAATGAAAAAAACGACGCGTAGATGTTTTAAGTTTTCTAGGTCAAGTTTTTGCCACCAATTTATTATGCAGATGTTTTGTTAAAAATACAACACTTCCGAGATGCGGCAGATGCTCGCGTTAGACCTTGGGTGTGTTACGAAAAAATCGTGCACCTTTCGATTTGGACTCCGTTATGCATTTTTAAACACGCGTTTCGAGTATGGCCTAGGAAATTTATTAAACATGTAATATTACGAAACCGCGGCAGGCCATTTCTATCATTAATTGCGTTTAACGTTCATTCGTATATAAATGTACCAACAGTTAAGGCCGGAACTATGTTCAATAACAATAGTAAAGTATCAGCCTATATATGTCCCACTGCTGGGCAAAGGCCTCCTCTGTACAGAGGGCATATTTCACCAGGCGGCCCCACTGCGGATTGGCGAACTTCACGTATCTTCGAACTATTTTTTTTGTTATTATTTCGAACATGCAGGTTTCCTCACGATATTTTCCTTCATCGCTGAGCACGTGATAATTCAGCACTTAAAATTACAAATTTCATTGGTGCCGGCACCGGGATAGAACTCAGGTTGATGGAGTAAATTGAATTAAAGGCGAGCCCGGACACTAACCTATCACGGCTACATTAACTTTTTGTCTTTCCATTTGCTGGTTCATTTCGGGTCGGATATTAGATCATCGAAGCGTTTTGTAATCGTCAAACCGAACGAATAAGATAACTAAACGGGCGATTTTATCTTGGTGAAATTTATAACGTAAGCCATCAGTTTCCCAAATGACTTCCGTTGAGACCGAGAGTCCCGCTCCGCTCCGTTCGCACGCGAGCACGCCAACGACAGTAATTGTACTAAACAGATGCTTAAAATAAATTAGAGTTTAATGCGGGGCGGGAATAAACTCGAATCACGAGTCGCCCGCTTTGAGCGCCGGACATTTCCTTGAGGCGATGCGTTCGGGCCGGAGACACGCGTCCGAACATTCACGAGCGGCGCCGGCCGCCGCCGAAGACGATAGCGAAACTGCCCTCATCCGAAAACCGACTCTGATTCGAACGGCCCAAAAGCCAATTTCGACTGTCGCCGACCAGATAAAGCGATATAGTTTTTTTCAATGCAACAACGATTCAGAGCAGTCGAAATAAAGCCGTGTTGTAAAGTGAGACGGTCTATTTACGTTCGCGTGCGACTATTGTCACGGTGAGATTGGACAGCAGATGTTTTTCACACACTTTTCGAATAAGTTTTGTATCATTATGAGATTTTTTTTTCTTTCTTAAGGAAGACAGACATATGCAATTTGAAGAAAGACGCCAGCCAGGTAGAGGAACGAAACTGAGCAGATGCGTTCGCAAACATTGTATTCCGTTGGCTATCTTTTAGTTGAGTTAATTTACATTATTGATTGGAAATTTCTCGTTTACCTTGCTTCTCCATGATATGGCAACGCTAGTTTACATGTATCTCGTATGGCGTAAGTGTCAAATAACTGTTTTAGGGTGCTCTTAAAATTTATTTTCCCACATCGGTGGTTTACGAAATGATTGATTTAATTCGTATTCCATCGATTTCGGTGAGTATGATAATCATCTCGTAGAAGACTACGTGGGGAACAAGTGATGGAGTTACATTCGGCACTCGTCATATTATTTTGGCTACTCGATACCTACGTCTTTAGTTATGTCTTTAATCAAGTTGAGTCAATATCTAGATTGATTTTTAGGTAAACCAAAACCTCTAACCCGTGTGCGACATTCGGCAAACATTAAGTTAAATTTGAAAAGTGATTGTTTGTGTAATGTCAATGTAAAACACATAATAGACGGAGGTTAATAACACAAATAGTTGCACAAAATAGATGTTATCTCCATAGAAACTTATATAAAATGTTACTGGGGGATCACTAGTTTAACATGAGCGCGTACGTGCAATCTATAATTGTTTCTTCAACAAGATAGAAAGATCTACGTTTATTTGTCTGAAAAAGATTGATGAATGGATCTTCCTGCCCTTTACAACGAGGTGGGATCGGCAGAACATGTGAATCATGTTGTAAGTGGTTTTGGCTAGGTTTTTTACGGCAGGCCGCCTGCACTGGAATAAATTTCTGTAGATCTGACAAAATCTTGTCACGCGTTGGAACCGAACCTATGACCCCCGGTTCCGAATCCAACAGCTTAGCAACGGCAATTGATAAATAAAATATAAAATATAACCCTAAATAAGTATTTAAAACGCCTTCGAAAAGAGTTTCGACGGGAAGCTGAAAGAGTTGATATATTAAACTAATTTACAGTAACAATCGACAACATCTAGTTCCGCTTAAATAACATTAACTGAACGGCACCGTTTGTCTCTTCGAGTTCGTTCATTCACAAACATTTTCTCAATTCGGAACAAGGCTCGCGCGGTTCACTGGTATCCGTGTATCCGTTACATTAAATACCAAATGTCGAGATTCCCTCGCGTTCGCGTATGATGTGGCCGTTAACATTATTGGCGATGCACGCTTCGTGCGCTGGCATTTAATCTGATTCGTAGCGGAGACCCGACCCGGGTGTCCGGGACTTAATGAAATGTCAGACCGCCGAGACGATGTGGCGTCTTTGATGATGTGTTCGCTGTAGACGTCATCATCAGCATCCTGCCCTTATCCCACCTAGGTGGGGTCGGCGCAACATGTGAATCATGTTGTAAGTGGTTTTGGCCATATTTTTACGACTGCCTGACGTCAGCTCTGCATGGTATTCGCTGTCAACGTTAGGGTTTACTTACATTTTCGACTGTCACAGACCGCGTAGAGGTGATGATGTTTTCGACACGGTCTGCGAAGACTTCATCTGACAAAGACCACGTAGACATTCACAGTTGGCGTGGAATGGGTCACAAACGTGCTTTTTTGGAAGACTGAGGACCGTCAAAGTCAGACATGTGTCGCAGCTCCAACGGTCCAAGCCAAGCCGAGGAAAATGCATTGAATATTAGTTTCATCTCTGCCTCTAAAGTTGATGGCCGCTAAAGACCGTTGGCTTTCCTGCCACTTGCTTTTCTGGACTGTTTCAAACAAGATAAAATGAGATGAAGACATCTTGGCTTTTTTTATACCATGAACTGACTTGAACATACTATCATCTCAAATGATGGTAGTTGATGGTCTGGGCACAGTGTTGCAATAGGGCCACCCAGTAGCTATTGCACGAATGGGCAGACGCGTTCGGAGAATTACGATGGCCTCATAGAAGTTCGGCTAAAATTTACGGTATCGTACAGTAGTAAGATACCGTAAATTTTACGTTTATTAATGCAGTAGCATTGCATATATTGAGCGAAGTCACTTACTTTGAAGATTGAAACGAATCTGAAACCCTATGGCTAACCCCACTTAACACCAGGCGGACCACCTGCCCGCTCGCCAAGCTCTTATATAAAGATTTTCCGAGTTTCATCATCTATATTTTGTAACGATACCACTATCAGCACCCGAATAGTTTTTAAACTTTTAACTTCACTACTGAAACTGAACCGCCTCCATAAAACGGAGACTTACGTTAAGCCGTAAGCTCAGGGCATCCACGAAACTCGGTCCTAGGATCATCCATCTTTATACCAGGTTTTTAAGATTTACATACATATATTTCTGTAGAATTCATAATGGTCTTATTACACGATTTGAATCACTCCAACCTATATAACCCGTTATAATCATCTAACTCGAAGTGTTATTGCGATACATGAATGTGCAAACAGTAGTTAAAACTGGATTGTTTCTCCGTCCTGTTTGACATTTCACTGGCTCTTGAAGATTATACGTGAAATTTTAATTACATATTAATGTTATATTATACTTCTACTCGGCGACTAAAATTAAAACATGTTTGAGTTTTTATTCTCTATAAAAGCTAACTTATCTTTATTGTAACGTAAACAAGTCTAGGCTCTTTTACTAACTGTTTAATTAGACTAGTTTAATTAGATTTAAGCCCATGAACTGGCTTGGTTTTGATCTGCCCTAATAAGCTTTTATTTAATAGCAACTTGTATCGCAAGATATAACACCCATTGATTGTTCCATTTACCGAGGAAAGTAATAGGGATGAGGGACAGATTGATAAAGGGTCGCGGTATCAGGTTTCCATTTTCTTCGTTTTCATTCAGAAAAACCATTTACCAAAAAGACTAACAGGGGTCAGAGAGCTATTGATGAATATTGTTATTATAATATTAATGAGAATCGTTAGGACTCGGAATCAAAACCTCTCTTCGTAGTTCTGTGTTGTTCCCAGCCCTAGTAAAATTCCCTCGCTTCTATGAATAAATTTTCATAACAATAACCTGATTCGTAATTCGGTCTTTCCAATTATTGGGTGTGAATATCGAGAAGGTGGACAATATATTGCTATCAGTTTGCTGTTATTTGTAAGAATGAAGCCTGGCCGCTTTTTAATGACTCTATAAAAAATAATCTAAAAATAGTCGCAGACTAGCACGCGTCTCAACTTTTGTATCTGTGCGCGTGAGCGAAGTTTTTTCTTTTTAGTTTTTTTTTTGCACAGCACGGCACGTACCAAATGTTACCGGCAGCTGCTCACATGTTGCTGAGATCATTTCGCGAATTCTTGTGAGACAGATGCTATCTTTAGCCAAATCTTGTTATTGCCGAATACAAAACGTCGTATCTCCAATTTCTTAATACCATTGCTCGTTTACGGTGCGCCGTCTGGTGAAATTGGACCGTTTGAAAATTCGTTGCTCTTATTCCGATCGGAATAGGGGCTGAATTGCAGTGACTGTTGTTGGTGTCGGATGTTTGTGCTTGCCGATCCAAATGCGAGTACGGCCGCCACCTGATTTGTACGAACATTTAACAAAGGATACGATGTTTTGCCTGCAAACACCGCTTCTATGGTACCTGACAAAGTGCCATTGTAATCGTGTCCACGGTGATTTTCTGCTTCGATGCGCCTCTGAGAGATGCCACAGACTAGTTTAATTTATCGTAGAACTATTTACTGACTGCACGTGGATTTATACCTTACTAGCTGCTGCCCGCGACTACGTCTGCGTAGAATAGGCTGAAGGGGTAACATTCAGATAGAAGCCAGATATACATAAAAATATGTATATAAATTATAGCCTATGTGTTATTCTGATGTATAAGCTATATTATTGTAAAGTTTCATTAAAATCCATTCAGTAGGATTTGCGTGAAAGAGCAACGTACATCCATCCATACATACAAACTTTCGCCTTTATAATATTAGTAAGGATTATTTACTAGCGACCTGCACCGGCTTCGCATGGGTGCAATGTATTATACTTATAAACCTTCTTCTTGAATCACTCTATCTAGTAAAACCGAAAACCGCATCAAGATCCGTTGCGTAGTTTTAAAGATCTAAGCGTACATAAGGCCAGACGGACAGCGGGACGACTTTATTTTACACTGTTGACGACTTAAATGTCAAGGATATTTTATGTAATTAAATAAAATCACCTCCTCCGTTTCTTTACTCGGGCGACTTTCAGCTTTTGGATGAACAATAGTTATTTAATTCTAAAAAGAATAAATGTACATAATGAAACATATGGATAAGTTGTATTTTGGTTCATTTACGGGCTTTTATTTATACACAATTCATTTGAAAATGCCTCTATTGTACTCAAGTCATTTTTTTTTCTACATCTTGCAGACATTGAAAAGTTTATTTGTAAAATTTTCGAAATTTTATTTTTAATAATGAATGACACAAGAAAAGCCAGTAAGGTATATAAGTGGAAATGCTTTCAATAACGTAACAGTTATTAATCTAAGATGATTCGTCTTTTTCCTTTATGCGACGATCAGAAGTTATTTTATGAAATTCGTTTCTTTTAACGTCTAACAATTCATTACATTAATGTTTGAAAGCCTCCATATACTTAACCAAATGAAGTTGATAAAATTGCCTAGTACAATCCTTTCAATATTATTAGGGCCAAGGCCATACCTTCCTTGGCCACGACCTCTTGAGAGTCCTTGAGAATGCAAAGTTGATGAGACTAATTGTGAAAGTGTCATACAGATAAGAAATTACTCTGTTCACTCCGATACTTTTGTCGGTACTTTTACTCGTACTTGTGTCGTGTACGGCAAGCAGAATGCACTCGCTTACTGCTGCAGAGACTGCGTATGCGTAGATTAGAGTAGCAATAAAGCTACCGGATATGAAGCACAGTAAAATTTAGGTATTTATGATGATAGAAGTACAGATTTTTGTAAACTGATTAATGACCTTTGGGGATGAGTAAGTTGATTTTTATCGGCCACCCAGCGACCATTTTCCCACAGCTCGCGGCTCCTCGTGTGGAATACTAAGTGATTAGAAGCTTGCGCGAATAATACGTACTCATGGCATACCTACTCCTATGACGAAGCGTGTTCGTGTTATGCACCTTATAACGGTCCAATGTTGTAATTCCGACGACTGATTCGAACTTTGTAACGGTTGAGGCCACTGCCGCTGAAAGCTGATTTTCAACCGATTTCAAAAAAGAAGGAGGTTAACAATTCGACTGTATTTTTTAACCTCAGAAATTTCGGTTGAGGGAACCGATTTTGATGAATCTTTTTTTATTTGAAAGCGGTTGAGATTTTTTTCCGGAGAAGAAAAATTATAAAATGAATACAGAGCCGTTAATAAAAAATAGGCTATTACGTTATACAGGGAGATTTTTTGAGAAGTGCCTAAATTTACACTGGAGGTTCAGACTCGGTAGTATAATCGTTTATTAAAATAAAAATGAGTTTTTTTTTTTCCAAAAAAAAAATGCCATTCTATTCCCTAAAAAACAGAACGTGTTGACAATGCGGTAGTCATTCATAAATGCCTAAATTTTACTGTGCACGAACTTGTGTGCGTGTTAGTTAGGAATGATCGCGCGTAAAATAAACGAGTTGCGTATAAATCACGCCCTTATTGAGATAATTTCAAATGACTGTAATTAATTACTTACAAGTGATTTTAAATATTAATAATTTCTTATATAACATTATTCATGTCTAGAATGTAATAAAAAAAATTGATACACTTAGAAAAGCCACCCTGTATATTGAACTGAATTTGAATCATGATTTAATGTGAGCACGTTTCCGTGCTGATATTTAACTAGTTTCTACCTGTAGCTTTCCTCATGTGGCACGTTTCAATGCGATATAACTTTAACCGTAGTAGGGCAACGTGAAACGGCAGCTGTTATTTCTGCTTTTTCGCGTATGAGTAAACTTGTCCGAGTTACCGCGCCCTCACAGAAGGTGAGTGAGGTAAGTGAGGCCTACATTTTAACGGTGGGCACCGTATCCGCGACCCAATATTGCATACGTCCGTGAGTGGCGGTAATCGATTAACATCAGGTGACCGGTCTGCTCGATTGCCATCTTCTCACATACAAAAAAAAAATGAGATATTTAATTTACGAGATGAAAAACTGACTTGACTTTCATTATTTTTCACCTTATCAGCTTAGCCTTTTAAAATTTCATTCAACT